GTTTACAAGTTCAAAGAAAAATATGTAGACATAAATAACATATGCAGAATCTATATGAAGGAAATGAACTTCTTAAAAGATCTGAGTAATTAGAGGTACAAATCATTTCTCTGAATAAAAAATGAAGTATATTATGGCACAACATTCCCAACAAAATCTCAAGTTACTTATTTCTTTTGGTTTCATTGCTAGAACAAATGTAAATTTTATGTGTAATATTGGGAAGAGCCAAACATTTTGTGAAAATGGAGACTAATGCTTATCTGAAGTATCTTTAACGACTATAATAATCTAAATATTTTAGCTTTGAGTGGGGAAATATACATGTTAAGTCCTAAGATTGTGACAAGAATTTAGTCTATGATAGTGTTTCAAAGAAGTGGAGAGAAATGGGCCTATTTAATAAGTGGTGTTGGGATGGCAGAGTAAGATAGTGTGAAAATAACAGGGATTCAAAAGGATAAGCCTTCCCCAGAAAACACAGATAAAGGGGTAGGTTTGGGGCAACCTACCAATTGGAACCCGCAGTCTGCAATTGGAAGCAATAAACAGGGGTAGTGGCTGAAGACATATAGTTTACCCTTGAGTTGAACCCTCTCAGAGTCTATGGCTCTGCCAAGCATACTTTCCCTGCCAAGTATACACTGTATATAAAGTGATAGGTCGTATCAGGCAAGAGGAGGTCAAGTTCAAGTTAGAAAACGGGCCCAATGCCAAAACAAAACAGGTTATACATATATATGCATTACACACACACATACACACAGCTTCCTCCAGATATTCAAATGGCTCCTTCCCTCCATGCTGGCCTCCCCATTGAGGTCTTCCCCTTTCCACACTACATAAAATCACTTTTTCTGACAACTTCTCCCATTGTATGTTTATAAATGGGAAAATTTTATACTTATCACCATCATGTTCTCCCATGGGGATGTATTTTCCTGATATGGCTGCAGACAGCACGAAGGACACAAGCTATCTGGTCATGATGACTTTTTGATAAAAATATTCTAGAATGGGTTCTCATTGGCTTATTTTTAACAAAGGATTATTCCTGGATGAATACAGACATGGGGTCAGGAAGAGATGGTGTCATCTGAGGTAAATGCCAACTCCATGTACACAAGAATAGGTTATATTACTAGAAGAAGGTATAAGAGTTGCAGTAGCCACTACATAACCTTTAAGTACATAATCTCAAATCCCTTCCTTTTGTCTGAGGAACTAAGTCTCCCCTTTCCCAGCCTGCCCCTCCTTTCACACTCAGGCCTGTCTTCCAGACAATGAGGAACTGGTGTCTACTCTTAGACACACACTGTTTGAGAGCAGGTTCCCCTCAGATACTTGGGGAGGTGGAGAAGTGAGGTTTAATATTTTTCATGCCACCCTGAACATGTTTGGAGTCTAGAGTATGGAATGGTTGATCCTCTCTGGGCTCAGAATCCTCATCTACAAAATAAGGGACGTTATCCCTATGTACAAGAGGTGGTCTTATCCTGAACTTACTTTCAATAACACACAGGCCAAAAGTTCTCAGTCGTCTAACCCCTCAAAAGAGGCTCAAGTCCTTAGAGAATAAAGAGGGTTTTCAGAATTCCTTGAAGCCCCTAGTGACGACAAGCTCTGCTCTTGTCAGTCTTTAATTATATTTCTTAAAATGGAAGAACTTGGTGAAGTATGGCAGCGATGATTTGTGCCCATGGGGTACTGGAACTTCCTAAGCTTTCCTAGGACTATGCTGATTATGCCAGGGCCCATACTGTGAGAAGAGCGCATACATACTCTTTGGAGTGTAACAGAAGAGTGTTCTTCAATCTCTACATGCAACAGGTATGATGCAACAGGTATGTTGCAACAGGTATGTCGCAACATACCTGTTGCATGTAGAGATTGAAGAACACTCTTCTGTTATACTCCAAAGAGTATGTATGCCCTCTTTTCACAGTATGGGCAGCATATATCCTGGGCCTTTTGCCATGTAATTAACACATATATGGGCTCCCCTAGGGAGCGGACAGTAAAGAATTTGCCTGCAATGCAGGAGACTTGGATTCAATCTCTGGGTCAGGAAAATTCCCTGGAGAAGGGAACGGCTACCCACGCTAATATTCTTGCCTGGAGAATTCCATGGACAGAGGAGCCTGGTGGGCTACAGTCCATAGGGTCACAAAGAGTCAGACACACTGAGCAACTAATACTTTCACTTTCTTAACCTTATCTATCTACATATAGAGATACCAGAGTCTTATTTTATGGGCATTTGAATTTTACCAGTCAGAAATACTGTCAAAATATATTTCAATTAAAAATCCCATAAAATGTACTTATTATAATATGAGAGTTAAACATCTACTCTTATTATGCTACCTATAGAGGTAACCAGTTACCCCAGTGGTCATATCAAGCCAACAAGAAAAAGAATGAATTAATCAAACAGTGCAGAGAGGACTTGCTATTTATTTGGAAGCACACAGAGCTGCTAACCTCACACCACATAAGACAAGAAACATCATGTGAGGTTATATGAATAATCAAGTTAACATGTCTGCTTCACATATATCAAACGAGAGACGTACCTGCCACAGAGCTCAGTTCCAAAAGGAATTTACTTATGACAACATAAAAGCACAATGAAGCAGAAATACTTAACTTTCAACTAGAAGAATAATTTTATTTCTAATACTAAGCCATTATATAGGAATTTACAGGAATAAAAAACACTCTGCTGGTTATTCAACAATAGCTCCACCCAGACCTTCCCCTCTACTTTCTCTGTGCCCATGTGGGCTCACCTGCAGATGGCATCTGATTGGGTTCCAGGAATGTGGTCCATAATTTTGGAGATGACAATATCTCCTGAGACGGCCCCTCCTCCACAAGGGCAGCAGGTCTCACTGGGCTCCGGTTAACACCTGCTTTCATCCTTTGCCCTTCCGGACTTAGAATGGTAATGGCCTCCCGAGGACACTAATCTCTCGGTGCGTCAATATCCCTTGCCTCTGGCCAAACCACCGTAGTAAGTCTGCCATGAAAGTCTTCTTAGTTGGATCAGAATTATGTTTTTCATCAGATACATGGCTGATACAAACAGCCCTCCCTATATTAATTTGTCAAAGGAAATAATTCATCTCTAAAACTGCTGTATAGAACATTAACACTTCTATTAGAAAAGAATTCATTTGAATCAGGTGAATGCCTTCAGTGCTAAATAACAGACATCTCCAAGAATAAACAAGAAGCCTCTTTTGCCCCAGTAATACAAACTCCTAGTAGACAGCAGGTCCAGAAAGAGTTGTGCAGTTCAGTGACTGTACCTCTGAGTCAGGTTTTTCCCATCTTGTGTACTGTTCTCTTCAGGTTATTGCCCATCCAGGCCACAAATATAATCTAGTATAACATACAGCCATGAAAAAGTCCAGCAGAAGAGAGATAATCTCTTCTCATGTCATGACAATATTTTATCACTGAGTTCTTTCCCCAAAGCACCAAGAATATTTTCCAAATATCTCACTATTCACCTGTCCATCCCAACAAAATCACTAGAACAGAATATTCATGATTAACTTAGACTAATGTGGATTTACCCCTAAATCATCTGGGGAAAGGATGGACAAAAAGACAAAACGTGGCCCAACAAGGAGGAAGCAGGGAATGGCTATTTGGTGGGCAGTGTTTCTTGGAACTGCTTATCAGTGTTTTCCAAAGAAGCAAAGAAAACAGTAGGACAAAGGAGAGAGAGATAGTATATTACATTCTATTAAATTAAATACAAATACATAATTCCTGAGTTACATACAACTTGGGTTACACACATCACGCCCAAATAGATACAGCAATAAAGCACCAAGAATAGGACAGAAGCATTTCGTTATACAACACTACTTTTTATTTGCTGAATACTGTGAGCATTACTGTTCATAACTGATGTTAACCTTTGCAAAATTTATGTAATTATCATTGTTATTAATAGCATTCACATTATTGACTGACCCAAGGCAGCTGAATAACCTCAGGAAAAAATATTGTTTGGCCTTTTTATGGAAGTGGAAGCTCAGTAATAATGGCCATACTCATTCGCATATGCCAGCAAAGTCAGAAGAAAAGTAAGCAATAGGTAGTAAAAGAGCATATACTGGCCACATTACAGAAAGTCTCTGATAGTACTGAAAATAGCATTGATGCATAGGTAGTTAAAAACTTCACAAAAAGTATATTTTGGCTTCTTTTTTGAAGAGGCCATTCAGCAGTAATGGACACAGCCATTTATCAATGGAAATGGGAGAAGGGGTATGTGGCTAGTATTTTAAATTTGCCAAACGTATTTTCATATATACACGGTGATGTACCACTGTAAATATCTGACAACAGATCCTCTGAGAAAACAAAAATCCTAATTTGTAGAGTTTGTCAATTATCATGGTGTAAATACTCCCACTAATGGCACACTACCAACACAATGGCACTGAACGTAGGGCTGGTCACAGATGTATAGTACTACATCATTATATAGTATTCACCATGCTGGTTTAACAATACAGATAACCTAAGAACAAAGATAATAGCAAAACACTGTGAAATATTTAGGAAATGATGAGTGTTGAGTATGTATTACCTTTGTTTTTTTAATATTATTTAACTGTAAATTAGTATTTTAATTTTAAAATAATGACTGTGTTTAACGACTGGCTCATAAAATTCCTGAAAATTTATCAGCAGTGCTTCCAAGTTAGTATAAACTTACTGTAGCACATCACTGTGTATTGGTAAGCATGTATAAATATATTTACATATACATATATACATACCTATTACAACCTAAGACACTGATGGTATCTAGTGGGGGAAATGTTAATACAGACTATAACAGTTAATGAAGGGTTTAGATTTTCTCTTCATAAGCATGTTAGGCTCTAATAAACAAATCAAGAATACCTCAAATTTCTATGATATTAGCATACCCACAAATGGCCTCCAAACATCAAGGACTCTTCACATAAATGTTTAATGCTCTTGTCATTTAACTTCTTTAAACTTCAGATTCCAATGTGAATATGACTGCAAATATCACCCATTATATTAACAATAAAATTTTTGTATCACATCCAGAATATGGCACTACACAACATAAATTCTAGACAAAGTTTTTTTTTCACCATATTATGTCAATGAATTTCCCTTCAATATAAATTTTCTGATGAAAAGTTTTACTTTTTTTGGAAAGCTTTTACATATTCAAAGCATGAATAAGGTTTTATTCTAGTAATAATTATCTGAACTACAACAAAATCTCTAAAGGAATTTGTGATATTCTTTGGGTTCCATTCATCTCATTTTAAAAACCTGTATAATAAATTTGAAAGAGTGGATGAAGCCTTCTGAATGTTCAGGATGCTGAAAGAGCTTTCACCCTTGTGTGAATTCTCTGATGTTTAGTGAGTACTGACCTCTGACTAAAGGTTTTCCCACATCCATTACACTCATAGGGTTTCTCCCCTGTGTGAGTCCTCTGATGTTTAGTGAGAGCTGATTTCTCACAGAACGTTTTCCCACATTCATTACATTTGTATGGTTTCTCTCCTGTGTGAGTTCTTTGATGTACAATGAGGTTTGATTTCACACAGAAGGATTTTCCACATTCGTTACATATAAAGGGTTTCTCTCCTGTGTGTGTTCTCTGATGAACAGTTAGGGCTGACCTGTGGCAGAAGGATTTTCCACATGCATTACATTCATAGGGTTTCTCCCCTGTGTGTGTTCTCTGATGTTCGGTGAGGTTTGACTTCACACAGAATGTCTTCCCACACTGCTTACACTCATAGGGTTTTTCTCCTGTATGTGTTCGCTGATGGTTGGTAAGATGTGGTTTCTGACAAAAGGATTTCCCACATTCAGTACATTCATAGGGTTTCTCTCCTGTGTGCGTTCTCTGATGCTGAGTGAGGTTTGACTTCTCCCAGAATGTTTTCCCACATTCACCACACTCAAAGGTTTTTTCTCCTGAGTGAGCTCTTCGAAGTTGGGTGAGATGTGACTTCTTGTTCGAAGTATTTCCGTTTTCATTGTGCTCATAAGGTTTTTCTCCCATGTTTACTATCTGATGTTTAAAGAGAGCTGACTTTTCCCATGTTTTGTGAGAGACTTTATATTCATGGGGAATCTTTCTTGTGTAAGTTCCCTGATGGATAACGAAAGTTGAATTGTCACAGAAAATTTGCCCATATTCATTATATTCATAAGGATTGTCTCCCGTAAGAGCTCTCTGATGTCCCAGTCTTAAGTCCACATAGAAGGACTTACCACAAATGCTGCATTCACACGGTTCCATTTCAAAATGAGTTCTCTGAGATAAATTGAGCTTCAAACTCTGGATGAATGTTCTTCCACATTCATTATATTTACAATGTGTCTCTCCTATCTGAACTTTCTTATTTGTGAAAAAGGCTGCCTCTCCATGGTTGCCTCTTCCATTTTCATTATACTCAAAAGGCTGGTCAAAAATGGACTGAGTGAGATCCTGTCCATGATTGAGGACATTCTTTTGTTGATTATATTTATAAGATTTCCCTCCAGGAGGAGTTTTGTCATGCCCAATATCAAGGAGCAATTTCTCATATATATTAAACTCATCAGGCTTCTTTCTAGAATAGTTGTTTCTGTTAATAATTAAGCCTGAAATATTTTTCAAACTCAATTCACATGAGTCACATATTTTATATAGAAAATTGCTTGAAGGAATGGAGTCTGTACCTAGATTTAAAGTTTTCCTTACTCTGTCACCACTATCTGTACTTAATATTTTGTTGCTGGTGAAAGCAAGTTGCCAAAAATGTTCATCTTGATTTTCCTGGGTGCTCTCTATTAGGTCATCAACTTTCCAGTCTTCTAGAAATGAGAAAAATAACCACATCTTATGAATCCTAGTACATTTCTAATGGAATTCAACTTTTACACAAATGCCCTATTACACAGTCAGTTCTTTTGCTTTAGGCTCAGTTTTCTGGTGTGAACTAAAATCCAACATATATTTTCTTTACTCTTCTGGTTTGAGTGGAATATAAAAACATGCTTTAGTAAAAACAGGGAAAGGAAACTGGCAATAACATTTAATTCTTTATTAATACAAACTTTAAAACTAGACAGAAAAAGGTGAAATACATTCAAAACACAGGGAACCAGAGAGTGGCTGATTCAGAAATCAGGAAACTCAAGAGAATGGAGTGAGCCCAACAGAGACACTGAACAATGAATATCATTACACTGAAGATTAGTAGACAAGGGCTTTCAGAAGATGAACTGTGTTTGGTGGAAACAAAGCAGTCTACTCCTAACCCCCTCAGACACTGATTACCTGGTGTGATTCCTACTAGGGTACTCGCTTCTACTCTACACATCAACACCAGACTAAAGTTCTGAAAACACCAACTGCCTCAGGTTCAGAAGAATAGTCTGATAGCCCAGGATTCCTTTAATTCACATGAAATAATTATAACAAGACATGGTAAGCAAGGGATGGGGCTTTTATGAGTTATTCATTTATGGAACAGGAAACTCCAAGAACTGGATGAGTTTAACAAGAGAGGTCTTTTGTTTTGTTCATTTGTTTTTAAAGAAAAATAGACTGTTTAAGAAACATATTAGAGGAAGAACTCAGTTTGACAAAGGCAGATCATGCTTTCTTGTCCTTACCTTCCCACAGCTTGATTACTGTGGTAGGATCCTCACTAATGTGCATGTTGCTATTCCTTTTTCCCATTTGACATATGAACATCAAAACAAATTTCTGAAGGTACCTACTTCCTCATGCTCTAAGGGACAATGCTTTAATCCAGACTCTAACTATCAAGCTGTAATTTGCAACAACAGATGTCCAACAGGAAATACAAAACAGAAGATGGACAGACCATCTCTGCAAAAGGACCAGGCTCATTCTGTTTGCTCACAGCTGTTAATGAAGTTGTCCCAATCATCAAGACATATGTTTCTTTACTTCAATCTGCTGCCTTACTTTCCCCCAAAACAATTTTGTTCCTGAACAATACTGATCTTTAAGTCTGCTTTCATATCTACATTTATTGTTTACATCAAGGTTTTCTGCTTTCATATCTAGACTCATCTGTGGCTTTTACTTACAGATGAGACCTATAAGATCATATTTTTCTATTAATATATGGTTCTGAGGCCTTCAACAAACTTTATTGTAAAAATTCTTGGCTATTCTTTACTGTTGATACTCCACGAAACGGGCTTTTCAGGTGGCTCAGACGGTAAAGAATCTGCCTGAAAAGGAGGAGGCCCGGGTTCAACTGCTGAGTCAGGAAGATCCCTTGAAGAAGGGAATGGCTACCCACTCCAGTATTCTTGCCTGGAGAATTCCATGGACAGAGGAGCCTGGTGGGCTACAGTCCATGGGGTCACAAAGAGTCAGACATGACTGAGTAACTAACTAGGTGAAACAATGTTAATCATATGTTAAAAAAAAATCTAAAACAGTCCTGAGCCCATGGCTCCAAAGACTAACTGATAATAGTTATTATCTTGACAAACACAAATTAAAACAAAAACTGAATTCATATTATGAGTTCAAGTTACAATTCTGTAAATCCATTAAAAAATATTTGTGCGGTTCTAGCTGGATATTTAACAAATTGCTCATTCCCAACAACACACCTTTTATGTAATTATTTACACTCCAGCCTTGGCTCTCCTTGGGACCTAAACATCCTCTAGGAAATGCTACTTTAATTTAAAACAACAAACCACAAAAGTAATAATAAAATAACAAAGCCAACAAACTCTACAACAAACTCCCTATCATTTTCAGTCTCTACCTGCTGCCTTTAGAAGTTACTACCTGTTTAATTCACTGTAAGATAAGATAAAACAAGTCCACTGCTCAATGATACACCCTGTGTCATGACCACAGTCTAGGCAGGTGTTAGTAAAATTCTATTTCCTCTGACTTCACTAAGGAGATAGGACATTTGTGATTCTTAAAAACTGATGTGCATATGAATTATCTTCAACCTGTACTTGAGGATAAAATAAGGGAATGTGCATTTAGTAAAAATACTATAGAATGCTTTCTGAATGGATGAAAAAGAGTGATCTCTTCTAAACTTGGTTCAACAAAGTAATTATTAAAATATCAGAATCAGGAAAAGTTATGAAAGGAAAGTATGGATACTTCTAGTTCTGGCCTCAACTATGTACTTTATACTATATATGGTGTGTATGTATATATATGTATATATGTGTGTGTGTTTGTGTGTGTATCTATATATACTGAAAGTGAAAGTCGCTCAGTTGTGTCTGACTCTTTGCGACCTCATGGGCTATACAGTCCATGGAATTCTCCAGGTCAGAATACTGGAGTGGGTAGCTGTTTCCTTCTCCAGGGGATCTTCCGAAGCCAGGGATCGAATCCAGGTCTCCCACATTGCAGTCACATAGATTCTTTACCAGGTGAGCCATAAGTGAAGCCCAAGAATACTGGAGTAATATACATATGAAACCTCCTATTCCATCCCAGATTCTAATAATTATCTTAAGCCTCTCTTTGGGAAAACAAAATCTCAGCAATGATAGAAACCCTAAGCAACAGTCATATCATCAGGTCTGAGTTTTGGAGCTACAGATGCTAGTGGGTTAGGGTTATAAAATATAGACTATTTAAGTTATAGCAAAAAATTGATCACTAACTTAAAATAAGTGAAATAATAATAACACGCATTATAGACATGCAATGTTTAAACACTTTGCATACCCAATTTTAATTCAGTTACTTAAAAGGCAAAGTGAAAATTATAGAAAAAACAGAAAATATTTAAAAGTGAAATTTAAGACATAAGGCAGCATGAAATTTAAAAAGAGCTCTGAAAAGCAGTAAAAAAGACACAGATATATAAAACTGGGCTAGACTGTGACAGTCACTGAAAGGAGACTTTGATTTCATTTATTAATAAAGATCAAGTTTTTTAGGCTAGTGAAAGATAAACTGGATGCTTTAGGTAGAAAAAAAACAAACAACTAGGAAGATCAAGTTAGGTATCAGTGACAAGTGAGAAAATAAAGAGATGAAGAAGATGGAAAAGAAAATAACATTAGGAATTTGAAAAAACTAGTAACAGGGGATAACAGGTGCAGGACACTGAACCCATGGTTGCCATTTAAGGTAGTAATGGGTGGCTGAATGTTCCTTATTTGACCCCTGGGAAACCAGGCTCTCTAATTTTCAAGTGACTCAGACTGTTCCCCTCAATCTCCTCTAATGACAAGATTTAGTGGATTTACACACCTTGCAAAAGCAGTACTGCCCCATGACTACCTCTCTCATTTACAAACAACCACTCTCTAGAAAAGGGGTCAGCAAATTCTGACTGCAAGGTCGTGGGCCTAGAACTAAGGATGTTTTTAAGTTTTTAGAGGGAAATATACAGAAAAGGCAGCAGAGAGGAGTGAGGAGGAAGAGAGAGAAGAGAAAGATGTAAGAGGAGGAAGAGCAGCAGCAGCAACTGAGACCATGTGTGGCCCACAAAGCCTAAAGTATTTACTGTATGGTCTTTTACAAAGAAGTTGTGTATGTGTCTCCCGGAGTCTAGCAGTTATCCCAGGCTTCTTGTGTCCAATTGTACTAGCTCTCCTCTCTAATCTCTCCTCCAAATTTTCTCTCCCAGTAAATGGTGCTCTAAGTTATCAGGTACCGGAAGCAAATCACTGGAATTCATGCTCAACTCCTCCTTCTCTCACACTCTATATCCAGCCCAGTAACAAATCCTCTTGGCCTCATGTTCAAGATATACGTACAAATCCACCACTGTTTCAGCATTTCCAACATAGCCCGGGCAACCAGCTTCTCTCCTCTGAGTATACAATGGTGTCCTAACTGGTATTCCTTCCTTGCTTGTGCCTAAGCACCATCCACCCATCACATGGTCACAACAGAGAAGTCAGAGAGATTCTTTTAAACTGTAAATCCAATCGGCTAGCTTAATTTGACTTATATATACTGAAAAAAGTCTGAGGATTTCCCACACCACTCAAAATAAAATTAATATATCTACACTGCTACTTATGACACCATCTCCTACCAGTCTCCCCCATGCCCACTCACCTCCAGCTACCATGACATCCTTATCATTCCTCAGACACTCTAAGAGCACACTAGTCCAACACGTTTAGCACCAGCACGTGATATTCCCTCTGCCTGGAGTATTCAGAATCCACAGACCTCACACTTTAATTTATTAGAGAGTCATATCTACTATGTATCTCATAAAATACATTTTCTTTTGAAGTGAAGTGAAAGTCGCTCAGTCATGTCCAACTCTTTGCAAGCCCATGGACTATACAGTGCATGGAATTCTCCAGGCCAGAATACTGGCACGGGTAGGCATTCCCTTCTACAAGGGATCATCCCAACCCTGGGACTGAACCCAGGTCCCCCACATTGCAGGTGGATTCTTTACCAGATGAGCCACAGGAGAAGCCCATTTTCTCTTGAATTCTGTACCAAATAGCACGTTATCATTCTCTAACCCCCTTTCCACTACTTCAGCTCTTCACAGTACTTACCACCACTCAACACCATGTATGTGTGCATACATGCACATACATGCACATGTACACACATACATGTATGCTTTTTGTCTCTCACTGTAATAAACACTCTGATAATAGGGACATTCTTTTAATTATGTATAAACATAATTGGGTCATATTGAATGCTCACCATGTATTTGTTAAATGAATACAGGGAAGTATTACATGAATCATAGTATCTAACAAAAGATGTCCAAAGGCAATAGATGGAAGGTGGACAATTTTAAAATAATAAAGAAAAATTATCTCAGATGGAGCCAACTGGGTTTGGATTATGGATAGAGGTAGATGACTCTGAAATGTCCAAGAACAAAGGGAAGCATTTATGAGTGAAAGTGACATACAGAAGAATGTGATTAAGGTAACATAAGTATTTGGGCCAACTGTCAATCACTTTCAAAGGTCAGGAGTTGGAACCATACACCAATGGCCTAAGATCTCATTTCCTCTGGCTTCCATCTGCTTGTGAACTCACTAACTCACCTGAGCGGCACTGTTTTGGGAATCTTTCCTCTAGTATCCAAGGCTCTTCTCCTTGCTCAATCTTGAAGACCACTTCAGGCTTAGTAGTGCAATTCCCTGTAAAGAGAGTAACATAGGACTATGGCTGAACAGTCTGGCTTCAGGAACTCTAAAAAAAAATGATGGGCAAGAAAGGTACAGCTTTGGGAGCTATCTAAAAGAGGTGCCTAAATAAACCAATCCCCAAGGAGGTAAGACTACAGCAACCTTTATAGCGGCCAAAAGGGATTAGTCATTTTAGGGCCTTGAATCTCCATCAGAAAATTTCACAGGGAGTTTTTACATTTCGTCAGCTAAGAAATGCACGCTACTGGTAATCATGTGGAAAAAAATTCTTACCTACTGAGACAAGGTGGCTGTAATTTTCTAGGATCACGTCTCTGTATAATATTTTCTGAGCAGGACCCAGCAGGTACCACTCTTCCTGGGTGAAGTCCACACAAACATCTTTGAATGACACTTGCTCCTGTAACAGTACATTCCTTTATTATACGAAATTGTCAGAGCTACACGAGTGGAAAATATTTAAAAGAAGGACTTTGCCAACAAAGGTCCGTCTAGTCAAAGGTATGGTTTTTCTAGTAGTCAGGTATGGATGTGAGAGTTGGATATAAAGAAAGCTGAGTGCTGAAGAATTGATGCTTTTGAATTGTGGTGTTGGAGCAGACGCCTGAGAGTCCCTTGGACTGCAAGGAGATAAAATCAGATAAAATCTGAAAGGATATTAATCCTGAATACTCAGTGCAAGGACTGATGCTGAGGCTGAAGCTCCAATAAATTGGCCACCAGGTGTGAAGAACTGACATTAAAAAAGACCCTGATGCTGGGAAAGATTGAAGGTGGAAGGAGAAGGGAACGACAGAGGATGAGGTGGTTGGATGGCATCATGGACTCAATGGACATGAGTTTGAACAAGCTCCAGGAGTTGGAGATGGACAGGGAAGCCTGGCATGTTGCAGTCCATAGAGTTGCAAAGAGTCGGACATGACTGAGCAACTGAACTGAAATGAATCTCTTTAGTTTACTAAAAAATTTAGGACTGCTTTCTTTAATGCTGGGCTTCCCTGGTGGCTCAGTTGGTAAAGAATCTGTCTGAAATGTGGGAGACCTGGATTCGATCCCTGGGTTGGGAAGATCCCCTGGAGAAGGGAACAGCTACCAACTCCAACATTCTGGCCTAGAGAATTCCATGGACTGTATAGTCCATGGGCTTGCAAAGAGTCAGACACGATTGAGTGATTTTTGCTTTTTTTTTTTAATGCTATACTATGTAGGATAAAAGTAGTATCTTGTATAAATTGAGTTTCCATGAGAGAGTGGAATGGTCCTAGTTGATACAAATATTATTCTTAATGAGGAGACATACACATTAACATGTATTAAACTGGAAAGTGTAGGAGCTAGCACTATACAAAAAGTAGAATGGGATGACCAAGAAAAAGTTATTTCATATTATCTTTTGTATTATAAAGTTAACTTTCACTAAGGAAATAAAACTTTCAGTTGCTAAAATGAAAAGAAGGATTAAAACTAATATGTTATAGGCCCTAATCAAGCTCACTCATGACTGATTAAAATGACCGGTTCTGTATTCTACCTGCCCGGCAGAGAAAAGGATGAATCCTCTCTACTTGAGATAATTTTTGGAGCCTCTCCTAATATCTGTGTTGTTAGATGCCAGATAATTTTTGGAGCCTCTCCTAATATCTGTGTTGTTAGATGCTCAACATCCAACAGGAAGTTTATGTTATATGATGAGACAAGACCAAAGGAAAAAGACAATAAAAGCATAACCATAATGGTTGTCTGAGGAGGCCTTACAAAAAGCTGAGAAAAGAATAGAAGCAAAAGGCAAAGGAGAAAAGGAGAGATATACCCACTGAATGCAGAGTTCCAAAGAAAAGCAAGGAAAGATAAGAAAGCCTCCCTAAGTGAACAATGCAAAGAAATAAGAGGAAAACAACAGAATGGGAAAGACTAGAGATCTCTTCAAAAAAATTAAGAGAAACCAAGGGAACATTTCATGCAAAGATGGGCACAATAAAGGACAGAAACTGCATGGATCTAACAGAAACAGAAGATATTAAGAAGAGGTGGCTAGAATATACAGAAGAGCTATACAAAAAAATATCTTAATGACCCAGATAACTACAATGGTGTGACCACTCACCTAGAGCCAGACATCTTAGAATGTGAAGTCAAGTGGGCCTTAGGAAGCATCACTATGAACAAAGCTAGTGGAGGTCTTGGAATTTCAGCTGAGCTATTTTGAATCCTAAAAGATGATGCTGTGAAAGTGCTGCACGCAATATGCCAGCAAATTTGGAAAACTCAGTAGTGGCCGAAGGACTGGAAAAGGTCAATTTTCATTCCAATCCCAAAGAAAGGCAATGCCAAAAAATGTTCAAACTACCACACAATTGCACTCATCTCACATGCTAGCAAAGTAATGCTCCAAATTCTCCAAGCCAGGCTTCAACAGTACGTGAACCATGAACTTCCAGAATTAAAGCTGGATTTAGGCTAGGCAGGGGAACCGGAGATCAAATTGCCAACATCTGTTGGATCATAGAGAAAGCAAAGGAATTCCAGAAAAACATCTACTTCTGCTTCATCGACTACACCAAAGCCTTTGACTGTGTGGATCACAACAAACTGAAAAATTCTTAGAGATGAGAATACCAGACCACCTTGTCTGCCTCCTGAGAAAACTGTTTGCAGGTCAATAAGCAACAATTAGAACTGGACATGGAATAATGGACTGGTTCAAAATTGGGAAAGGAGTACATCAAGGCTGTACATTGTCACCCTGCTTATTTAACTTATATGCAGAGTACTCATGAGAAATGCCAGGCTGGATGAAGCACAAGCTGGAATCAAGATTGCCAAGAGAAATGGCAATAACCTCAGATATGCAGATGACACCACTCTTATGGCAGAAAACAAACAGGAACTAAAGAGCCTCTTGATGAAAGTGAAAGAGGAGAGTGAAAAAGCTGGCTTAAAACTCAACTTTCAAAAAATGAAGATTGTGGCATTCGGTCCCATCACTTTATGACAAATAGACGGAAAAACAATGGAAACAGTGACAGACTTTATTTTCTTGGGCTTCAAAATCACTGTGGATGGTGACTGCAGCCATGAAATTAAAAGACGTTTGCTCCTTGGAAGAAAAGCTAGGACAAACCTAGACAGCATGTTAAAAAGCAGACATATTACTTAGCCTACAAAAGGTCTGTATAGTTAAAGCTGTGGTTTTTTCCAGTAGTCATACATGGATGTGAGAGTTGGACCATGAAGAAGGATAAGCATAGAAAAACTGATTCTTTCAAATTGTGGTTTTGGAGAAGATTCTTGAGAGTCCCCTGGACTGCAAGGAGATCAAACCAGTCAATCCTAAAGGAAATCAACCCTGAACATTCACTGGAAAGATGCTGAAGCTGAAGCTCCAATACTTTGGCCATCTGATGCAAAGAGCTGACTCATTAGAAAAGACCCTAATGCTGGGAAGCATTGAAGGGAGGAGGGGAAGGGGACAACAGAAGATGAGATGGTTAGATGGCATCACAGACTCAATGGACATGAGTTTGAGCAAGCTCTGGAAGATGGTGAAGCACAAGGAAGCCTGGCATGCTGCAGTCGATGGGGTCACAAAGAGTCAGACATGACTGAGTGACTGAATAACAACAACATAGGAGACTCAGATATTTAACACAAAAGAACTTCAGAATAAATTATAATTAACATAAAAGAGGAAAATACGAACCAAATAAATGAAAGGATGGGAGAAGTCAACAGATACATGGTATGTGTGTTGTAGATAAAGAATTAATACAGCAGGCCTGAGATTGCTATCTTCTGAAAGACCTGCTGCTACAAGGGTGTCTCATGGCTGGTATCTGGGAATTTGGAGTTCATGATGGTTCTTACCAGTCCTTGGTAAGAATGGCTCACAGAGCCTGAACTGTTTGTGTGAACTATATGGTTTTTGCTGCTCATGTACATTCCTTCTGGAGTCTGCAAAGAATACCTGCATTGACTAACCCCTGATAAACATTTTGAACACTGAGTGTCTAATCAGCTTCCCTGGCAAACATTTCACATTTGTCATCACATCGCATTGCTATAGGACTTAAGCCTGTCCTGGGAAAAGTCTTAGGAGCTTATGCCTGGTGTCCTCTGGACTAAACCCCAAATATCCTTTCCCTTTGCTGACTATGCCTTTTATCCTTTCACTTTAATAAGTCACAGCCCTAAGTACAACTGCATGCTGAGTCATCCCAGAAAATCACTGTACCTAGTGATAGTCTTGGGGACCTCTGATAAATGTGCATACAAACATGTACATGTACATACATGCATTCATAAAATGGGCATTCCAAAGTTGAAAATTATAATATCTGAAATTAAGAACTCATTAGATGGCTTCCTATACATCCAACAAAAGTATCAAAATACATACAGCAAAAAGTGACAGAACTGAAAGGAGAAACAGACAAATCTATAACCACAGCTAGAGACTTCAATACCCCTCCAAGTGTCCTGAGAAATCAAGCAGGCAGAAAAGCAGTAAGTATATAGACCACCTGAACAGTACTGTCAATCAACATGATCTGAAATTTCTAGAATATTCCATCCAAAAAAATAAACCATACATTCTATCATTCTACTCTACTTCTTATGGAACATTCACCTAGATAGGTTATAGTCTAGGCCACAAAACACACCATAACAAATTTAAAACAATAGCTATAAAAAATATATTCTCAGACCACAATGGAATTAAAGAGAAATCAAAAAGCAAAAGACAGCTGAAAAATCCCCCAAATACTTGAAAATTAAATAGCATATAGGTCAAAAAAGAAGTCTCAAATTTTAAACTACTTTAAATGAAATGGAATAAAAATGAAAATATCATGTATCAAAATTTGTGGCATGCAGTGAAATCAGTACACAGAGGGAAATTTATAGCATCAAATGTATATATTAAAAAAGATTTTAAATCAATATCTAACCCTCTTAGTAAACTGGAGAAAAAAAAAAGGCAAACTGAGCCCAAAGCAAGCAAAATAAAGGAATTTTTATTAAAATAAATCAGTTGTGAAAGAAAATAGAAAAAGTCAATGAAACCGAAAGTTGCTTCTTTGAAAAGATCAATAAAATTTTAAAAAGCCTCCAATCTAACCAAGAAAAAAAGAAGCAAATTGTGAATCTCAGAAATGAAAGATAGATTGACACTACTAATACTAATGACATTAAAAAATAGGAGAAAAAATTAATAAATAAAAAATAATAAGAGAATGCTACAAACAATTCTGTCCCTGAAAAACTGGGAACATAGATGAAATTGACAAATTCCTTAAAAGACACAGCTATGAAATTCACACAAAGGAGATATAGATAACGTGAACAGATTCATTTCTGCTAAAAAAATTAAATCAATAATTAAAATACTTCCGAAATAGA